AATTGTCGAGAGGTCTGTTTGGTCTGGTTTCTTCAACTAACCAGTCTCAATGAGGTCAAACGATGTATGGCCTTGCGTGCCTAGAGGTTTTGACCACCAGACCACTCACACAACTATATTCATGGAGAAGAACTGAGTCTTTTATTGAAATCAAGAACCTATGCACATGTGGAACACACGGGTAGATGACAACCATTGTGGCTGATCAAGGTCGCCCGAATCAATGGAGAAGCAACCTTTGGAAAATTGGCTCTAATAGTGATTTGCAGGTGTCCCTTGTACGGACGAAGCAATGCTGCTTGTACTTTGCACATGCCAACTTTTGTGTGTCCAGATTTCATTCAAACGATCGATAACCCAAACGGTAATGGTAAATTAATTAGAGCCGACGTTTCGTCGACGTAGTGTTTGTTGTCTTTTGTTGCCACCACTGAAGTGATAGAGGGTTAGTCGATCGACACAACCGGACAGTTACTGGAATACTTAGCCAGGACATGCAAATCACATCGCTCAAACATGAATACTCGCCTGTTCAGATATGAAAATTTAAGCGCTTCCAACGTTCGTTGGTGTAACACAGACAACATGTTCATCTGGTATGTCAGGAGTCCGAGGTTCGAATCCCGACACAGACAAGGATATGCATTGTTGCTCAGCTCCAATGGGAGCATAGCTCGAGCCCAGTGTTTCCCTCCTTGATATCAACTAAGAAGAATGATTACGCCAGAACGGTAGGAGGATTGTTATACTGAAAAGTGCAAATGTTGCCATGAAAAGTCTAGTAATCAACATTTATTCAAACGCGATGTTTTGCTATGACTTCTGTTCAACTCAACTACCAACGGCATATCACTATCATGGAGACGGCTCAACCGACATGATGGTATGGATAATTTGGGGTGCGCATTACTAAACGCTGCCTAATTGTCGTGTATGAGAATCGTATACAAGTACATAAAAGCAGAAGGTGTCTGGAGTAGTCCATGATCCCAAGAACACTGACAGTTTATAACGTAGAGATTAACTGCCACCTGAGCAGCAGCAAAAACCCATCCAGACATATTGCCAGATCACTACTTGGTGTTTTCGCATGACTGGTCATGACACCAACTAGCCACGTGGCTTTCTGGTGAAAGAAGTTCATCTTCGAAAAAGTTTGGTAACAATCGGTAGATTTATTGCTGGGCAAAGTTTCACTTTTGACACAAAAGCTTCGTCAGGCCAAGTGACTTTGGTCCCGAGGTTGGTCGAGCTTCAAGGCGGAAGGAGAACCAAACAGCTAAGTCAAGCCAAATCTCTGTTGGGTGTCGGCCGAGGGGTTTTTGTGTGTTAGGGTGGGTGAACAAGTGTCTGGTCGATGGGGAAACCCACATGTGTTTAGGTCCAGCCTAAGGTCAAGTTTTCAAATGAGTGTATTTGTCTTAAGGTCCAGTTCTTCTGGTTCGGTTTATGTAATGATCACTCTTGCACGTCGTTCGCACATTCCTTCCGTCTGTGCTATGATAGTTGTGTAAGAGGGATTCTGTGAACTTTGGGCGGGTTGGGAATTCCATCCTCTGTTTTCGCTATTGATTCTGCGTGAACTGACATCCACACAGTCACGTGTCAACTCAGCTTATCTAGGACCGGTTTCCTGATTGAGGTTCGAGATAATTCCAAAATGATAACACTCCTTCATTTGTGTTTGAAATACGGTAATTATCCTCAATAAGAAACTAAAGTTTCCAAATACGAAATATCCCTTCTCCAAGGGTTTTGCCAGTGTACGTCCAGAAATGCAATGGCGATTAATGGATTCAACCCAAGGCTTGCTGGAGGGGTAAAGAGTGAAGATAGACGAAGGTGAACCCAGAACACACTTAGAGATTCATATGTAAATATGGTGTGCAGTTACTCTTTACCAGCGTCCCCTCTTATTAAAACAATGAGTACTTTAGGCAGTTATCTGAACTCTTACCCAAATCTCGTCAAAGTTCTCCCCCATTCTTAAAAACAGCTATAAGCGCCACAGGGAACATTTTGGGATAAACTGGGATGTTAATGGTTAAGCTTCAACAGTCAGTAGCAGGTGGTGTACAGCAACTATCCTCGTATAAAGGATTTTTAGATCAGCGAGAGACAGGAGGAACGCATATATTGCCTGTCTTTACCACTCTCCACCAAAGCATTTAAGCGAGATAGTATATGTCCACCTTGGGATATTCTGATCATCGGAAATACCTAGTATTCTGTGTTTGTCTGCGTATATCGGAAACCTACGTGAACTGCACTGTATCCAAACTTTACTTTCTGCCTCTCGTGGTATGAAAGTACATTTGTGCTCGCTTTATTCTACAGGGCACTTCGGATACATTGGCAAAGGAAGGAATTTGCACTCAAATAACCATCTTGATTGCCTCATCGGAAAGCACCTCGCTCCCAGTGATCAGCCGAGGGTAACAATCACAACACCGAAATGCAACATTTTTATTGATGTTCCTCAAACCAGTGGTCATGCTTTCGGCCTGTTTGAACGGACGCTAAACGTACGTCTGCACCGGACTTACAGTATACCACAGTTGTGTGAAATGTCACAGCGACTATGTCAGTGCCGCCAGTCGAAATGCCCACGATCGTTTTATCTGCGACTCATTGCAGTCATCAGTTCACATATTTATCGGTAGAACCGACAGGAGGCTTGAAAGGGCATGTGTCCAACAAACTCCATACCGCATCAGCTGACCCTAACCAACGCTGATCGATTCTAGAGTCAGACCGTCGATCCGTAGACATCTAATCGACACGGGACACATAGTTGAACTCAACTCGTCATTTCAATTTTCAGCGGGGACCAGGAGCCACAGCAACTGAAGTTCCTTGGGGACATATTGACCACTCGTTTGAAGTTTGTCCTCTGAGCTCAGGTGAACCTAAAGGCAAACTAAGACCGCCCTGGTTTTATTGATCGGTCAGGTTGTTTTAAGGTTGGATAAGTACTGCAAACTGCACTGAACTGTGTATTTCATGCTATTTCACACGTTTTGCGGCTGAAGAGAATGTACGAAACGAATTCATCGCACAACATCGTTGTTCTCACTGTCTTGATTAAACTGATCAGAGGATCATGTGTCAAAGAGAAATATGAACGGTCGAGATCGTTGTGCTTGCATTGTGTTCAGTGGCAAGTCCTTTCTATCCAAAGAACTGAGAGTTTCACTGAGTATTGGATGCAACCTTTCGAGAATTTTCCTCGCCACTCCAGGACACTTGTACACTTGAGAAAATCTCATTGGTTTTGTCTGCACCGTGCAGTGATGCTCCTTTACTACGAACTTGAAAAAGCTGGCATCAGAAAACCCAGCATCAGGCTCGCTGAAGCCAGTCAGCCCAGCAAAGCTGTTTCTGGGGGTAGCGAACGTTCTCTTGCTTGCACTATCCGCGCGTCAGCTTTAGTTTGTGGGGAGAATGACAAGGGGTCAAGGTTCATATGCATCATCGACTGAAACACCGGTTAAAAATCTCTGGACGATTTGTGGGAATGAAACTTTCATCATTCGTCAACAACAAATGCGAATTGAGGGTGGGAACCCACACGTTGGGCAAATAAAGACAATTTTACCTGGTCAGTTATGGTGATTCCTCATTCCCAGCTCCGTCTAATCTCGCAAAGGCTACCAAGTTTTAATTTATAAAACTTGAAACAGCTCTTCGCGCACGTAATATCGATTTTAATCTTTACTCAATCCGTCAGAAAAATCGGGAGTGGAAAAAACATGGTTTATTGTTGTGATCTCCATCCAGTTCATTTCGGTCAGCCATTTCCTCTTCAGAGTGTCTCTCTGTATCTTATGTTCTGTTATGAAACAACCTTAAATGACCTCATCCACCTGTCGTGTGAGTTAGCATCTATAAATCCTCTTTCTGGCTGAAATGTCTTTGCGAAGGTGTAGAGTTTAGACAACAAGGCGGGTAACCGCAGGCCGTACCCAGACCGTGAAACTTTTTACATTCATTCGTCTTGACGCTTTTCTGTAGAATACAACTACTGCACTGTCATATTCGAACATACACCATTGCGTAGTTTTCAGTAAAATACGTCTCATGCTTATTGGTTTTCTTGTCCATAATTTAACGCGCCCGCGTAAGTTGCACGTAGTCTCTGTCATTTACCAGTTGAACATTCAACCAATAGCCCAACCACTTAGCATCAGCCTCTCCCCCCAGCAATTGAGTGCATCGTTTACACACAGCCCTCACTCCTACACACAGAAGGCTGATTTAGGGGACCAAGGGGTGAGTGAGGGTAGGCAAACAAAGATCGATCACATGTTTCAGTCACGTTGAAGACGGAGTGGGAGATGGTTGGATAGACAGGCAATGGGCGGACAAACATTCACACATCTGCGCCCTATGACGAGCAATCCAGTCTTTTGCATTCGGCTGTAAGCCAGTCCTGTGCCGGCAACGCGTGCACAGTGCCGTGTGCTCCGACCATCGGGCAGGACCTGCTGTTCATTCTTTCGTACGATCTTCACATTTTTGAACACGGAGAGCAGGTTTCAAAGCAACCGAGCCTTTACATCACTCTTTGTCCAATCATTATCACAGATCACAACCTAATAACAAACACAGACGGTGTCCAATTGGTTTTTGTGAGACTGAGTTACTGTGATCTGTCATTATACGTGTTTCATTCACGGATCATGCGAGCCGCTCTACGGCATATCGATCGCACAAGATGCACGCGTACGGCCGCACCCAAGCCACACGATGCGTTCATACAGGGTTAAGCAGAAGTGTACACACAGACGCACATGCGCACGCACACAACCAAACGTACGCACTCGAGTGATGCATTACTGCGCGTGTGCACACATACATGCACACGAACCCATCAACACACAATGTAACTTGATGGTCTCCACAACCTGCTGATTTCCAGTGTCTCACTTGGTGTAATTCTGTTTGAATCTTTTGGATACCCTGGCGTTTGTGACAGAACCCAGCTGTTCGACGAGCTGCTCAACTGCCTGATTTGGACGACTGACTGTGATCACAGGCTCTAAATGCTGTGCAGCTGCGGGAATTCGCGTAAAGTCAGCCCCGTGAAATGCACCACAAATTTGGCCGGATATATGGGAGAACATCTATCGCAAACCTTTTATAACCGGATGGTTATTCGTGATATACAATGTGGCGGTAGAGCACTGTCCCCAATGTGTATAGGTATTGGACAACCAACCCCGATTGACTTATCTGATTGCTACGGGGTGACAAACTGTGATCCACGCACTGTTTTGTGCGTGGCTGTGCATTACTTCCAGCGGACCTACCGTGTAATACCAGCAAGCAAGGAGATTCACTGTACACTTCAGCAACGCGACGGAATCGCAGCAAGTAAATCCTGTGATCAGCAGGGGACGTCCAGTCCATCCAGTGTGGGGGCTACTGACCAGCAGGGGATGGGTAAAAGTACAAAATCTAGTGGGAAGAAACTGGCACTCGTCACCTTCCTTGTTTACTATCCTGTTGGATTTATGAAGAGTGCAAACGATTTGCTCATATTGCCCGAACAGAATAAACACGCTCATCTTCCTCCGGTAAGTCGTTCTTTTCTACTTGTTCGCCAAATCACCAACTTTCTTCTCAACAGCAGAACAGCAGTCTGCTTTTAGTGTTGATGTAATGGATTAGTGGTTGGTCTCCCACTATTGGTCGCATGGCATTGTGGTTCCCCCATTTTGTTAATCTTTGTAGAACGTTATTTTGGAGACTAGAGTATTGTGCTTTTAAGATAACCTAGAACCCGTTTTCAATGTGCGGTGCTACGGATAATCACGGGGTCGTAAAAACGTTTCAGTGAATTCAGCCTACAGTTTGTGCGCTGACCCCCCCCTATACTGCTCGATTCCCTACCTAAGATTTGTTCTATTACGTTACTGGGAGTTTGTTGTTATTGACAAATACCCATATTCAGAACTAGGTATCCAAACGAGCTGATTCATTTTCCTGTGAGAGAGATATTTGACAAGCATGCATTCTGCCGGCGCTCCTCAGGTCGGACAATAATAGGACATGGTTTGGTTGTGCACAAACGTGGCATAGGCGACGGTTCCGTCAGTTGACCTGGAATCTCTGGAAGCGTCCAAGCGTGAAAACTGACACAACAGGCAGAATCACGGCGTTTTGGCTAATGGGAGAGAAAAAGGCCCTCAGTAGACAACTGACTTACTTCTACATGGCCGATAATTTTTAGCAGTTGGGCCCTGCCAACGAAACGGTCCTAGGACGTTCCTTGTGTGACTGCGAACACATTTTTAGTGTGGGGGAATTATTTCGAGATTACTATGGAGTATCGTGTTCAAAATCGACCGGCTTCCTTACATGCCTCGAAGCTGGTTCGATTTGCCGTGCACTGATCCTGATGCCGGTACAACACGGTAACACAAACATAAACCGTGCTTCTTTACGGCAGAATATGGTGTTTAAGCCACTACACAGGTATGATCTAGACAACACTTGGATGCAATAATGCGAAACACCGGATTTTTTAGTGCTTCACTAGACGTGTTGAGACATGTTTAGCGTTATCACTTCGAGGCATGTGTCGCTCTTATTGAAGGCACGTAGTTTACCAGGTTACCACGTGTAGTAGTAAATGGTACAAACTGGCGGTCCGTGTGGTGCCATGCAAAACGCATGCCTCTTTTGATTACACGCCCATTCCTATTTCGTAGTCTAGAGCCTATTCCCATCAGGCATACCCCTTGACTGCATACCACTGGGATGTCTGCGTTAGACAGAGACATAAAAAACGGGGGTACTGCTATTAGTGGCATCCACGCGCGCTCATGTACCGGGCCTCATTCTTTGATTCAGTTGCCATGCCTTGGGTGGTTTGTTGTGAGACTGTGGGAACATGAATGAAGAATGAAAAAGGAGACAGTTTTAAAGCTGTAAGTATGTCTTACCGACGAACCGTACATATCAGTTAAACAGGTGCATCTTGCGGCGTATAGAAATTGTGAAATATAGGACTGTACCACATATGGGGTAGATTCGTATGGCTAAATAGCCACTGTACAGCTTGTTTTGTGTAACGACACCCTTAAAGTGGTATCACTGCCTGTTTAAGATAATGAAAATTCTGTTTGTTCATTTGGGTCATTGTAAGACTGTTTGTTGGAGCATAACAATCCCTGAATTCCAGTAAACTTTGGCGTGCATCACTAGTAATTCAAACCTAGTTTACATCTGTGTGGCATGGCGTCCTGGCCTGCCGTGCCCCTGGTTTTCACCTATCCAAAGATGGTCAGAAAATTTCTGTGATCCATGAAAACTTGAACAAGTGTGAGCGTCCTTCAATCGTCTTACATAGAGATGTGCTTTTCAGACCAGTCTGTTTTATGGTTGGTGGAACCGTCTGATTTACAGTGGATTCGTCTACGGTACACCGAAGAGCTCGCCGTGAAGGCAATATCCTCAAGGAACGTTGAATACCTTCTGGAAATAGAACTTTCCTCTGTGGAAGATCGACTGATATGAACCGCATAGCACTCTACGTTCGCCCATACATTGAAACGCTAGGTGCATCCGAGAGTTTTTAACAGTCGCCATGTAAATTCAGTGAAATTCCTGGCAATACTGCGTGTCCACGATTGAGACACACGGATGCGATGTACTGGTGCAACGTGAAAGCTCCTCTCATCTGAGTCATCAGGGCTGATCCATTGCTGACTATCCTAACTTGAGTCACGAAGATGCGTTTTACTGCAACAGCAAAAAACATCGGTAACTATTGAAGCCTTGATAAACGTTGAGCTATCATGAACTGTCTCATCATCTATCCATATGGCTGCTACCCCAGGTTCCAGCAAACGGCACTGCGTTCAAATTTCGGACTTATGGACCAAGCCAAATCGAATCCAATTGAGAAGAGTTAGCTATCTTGGCGTTGCCCATACTACTAGTCCAGTAGTGAACATAGGTCACACTTATTAGACAGTTCCATTGTGGCGTTTCCACTTAGGTGGCAAGCCAGTGATTTCGAAACCAGAAAATGTCCAGTCTTTCTCAGCGGTTCCAGTAGATTTGTCCTTTTCGCTTGACTGGTATTGGGGCTTTGGGGGCGGTAAATAGTGACCATTTAAAGAGCAGAGTCGTACCACATCAACTAAACGAAGTCAGTGGCATCCGGTGAGATGAATTATTAAATCTGGTCTTAGCTCCCACTGGAATTAATTCAACCTGCATGCCATGTTGGAGCGAAACCTGCTTGCTGCATTCCAGCTGCGTATGACCCGTGCATCCAAATTTGTCCTGATCATAATTAGTGAACGATGCTGTTGGTTAATGACGCACACAACATTCAGATGGGGGTGTCTGATCAGCTTACAGCCAATTTACTGTGTGTTCGTTACCCGGGCATACCGTCTAATTGGGCAGCTCATGTCTCAGATTCTCCAACCACTGACTTTCTGGTTGAGCTACCTTTGCACCCGGTATCGATGCACTACTGAGTCACACCATCAGATGAACTTGAGATAATTGAATGGAAGATCCGTGGTTCGAACTCAACCCTGGTAAATCAACTGTTCCTGTCTAGGCATGGGGAACCTGGCAGTATCTCAGCCCTCCTGCTTCCTTCGAGTGGCGTATCAGCTAGCCATCGAAAGGGCATGGGGAACCAGAAACTAACCCTCCTGCTTCCTTCGAGTGGCGTATCAGCTAGCCATCGAAAGGGTGTTACAACAGAACGACCCTCCACACCATCAAACAGAACATGTTTTTTGGCTTATGCTAAAAAATTTGGCGCTCCATTATTTCAAACGCACCGCTGAGTACCGAGGAATTTTTTCTCCCCTGTCCAAGTCTTTGAGTGAATCCTAAATCTCTTTGAAGTAGCTGAAGAACGCGAAGCTTAATTTACCAATCACTGACAAGTAAATGTTAACCACAACTCTTCAGGTGTAGCAATATTTGATCTAGTATACCGTTGATATCGATTCCTCTGTTAGTTTACCAACCCTTGTCGTTAGTAAAGATACATCTTTACACAGCTCGAAAAATAGCAGATATTATTCTGCTTTTCGAGTTTCGGTCTTTGTCGAAGTTTCATAAGCTCCGCAGGCGTGGTGAAGGTTTATGCGACTGTATCACGCTTTTGCCAATCAACTCTGTAAATCAATTAATGTAATCAATATGGCAAAGAAGTCGATGAAAGAACTTACATGCTCAAGCGGTCGATATCCGCACATGCGGCTGACTGTCCGAATCAATCAGCTGGCGTGAGTTCTGCTTATCACATGTCGAGAAAGCCATGAGGCCACCCATGTTTTCTATGGTAACACAGTTCCTAACATGAGGAAGGAAATGTTGATTTTAGGCTAGAATGTTGTATACATGATATTATCTAAAGTTTACAGGAATGTGCACTAAAAGAACTGTCCTTAAAACAAGTGGACAACTAATTCGCAATCAAATTCAGGTTGGGTGTGTACTTTGGCTCATCCAATACTTTCAGACGGCACTGTAGGAACAAACTCTTAATGGATGAGCGATATGAGCCATTGCCATTTGCCATCCCGTCATCCTTCTTGACCGTGACAATAACTGCTTCCGTGTCCGGATTTACTCTCAAAGAAATGGATGTCGATCAGCTTTGCTAAATTGCCTATTCCCTTGTGCTACAGAATTGTTGTAGTCTTTCGATTTCTTCTAGCGAATGAACTACACAAGGAAGTGACTGCTCTCCCAGGTCTGATTATGAGATTGTTTTAATCGTAGACCATTCGTCAACGACTTCTCTGGTATGCATATCTTAGTATGGGAGTTGTCATTGCTACCGATATTATGGTGGGCGGATAGTTCAACAAAACAGTGTTGTGGTTTACACTGGTTGTATAGGATTTAACCTCAGTCGAAGAAAGCTGGAATAAACAAGCATCAGCGGAAATATGATCAAAACACTCATCTAAAGCCAGGGGATTTCAAAAAGGTTTCCAAGGAACACAGAACTGAAAGCATCCCTTCAGTGGGACGGCATACCACATACGTCTGTCCCTTTCTTTTTTCGTTTGTCCGTTGATTGTTATTTATTCGTACTTTTGCCGCGGTTTTCTATGATACGCGTTGTTTGTCCGCTAGGAATAGTTCCGCTAGTAGCTGCGTTATCGTGGAAAACTTGAGTCATCTCATAATGTCACAAAGTTTGACGTCTTTAGTAAACCGCGTCCATGCATCTAACACAAGCACGTTAAGAACTGGTCGGTATGAATATCCTTTGTTTTTGGGAATGGATAAAAGTATACTTCTGGGTCACCACCTTCGTCATTGCTGCTCGGGTGCTTGTCTTTCGAGTTAATCGGGGAGTAATTCGACTAGATCACATTCCAAAGTTTTATTATGCTTCTTGAGTAGCTGCTGCAGTCGAATCAACTCAGGTCGTTCAACTGCGTTCAGCAATTAGTAACTTGAGATTCTATCAGGTTGCTCAGGCTTAGGCATGAGTCATGGAAATGGCCGTCGTTTGAATCAAAGACATCATGGATAGTAGCTAGCGTCATGGCTACGTGCTGGACCAAGTTCATATCATGGACAG